TAAAACGATTTTGCAAAGACTGTATTTCTTCTCTTGTCTGGTCATTTAGAGTCCCTGTTCCATTATCTTTGCAATTAGCCATTGACTAACAAAGATTTCCTTGAATTCCACTCTCTCTCTCCATCAAATCCTTCCTGGATGTCAGGTATTGTACTGAACTTGAGTTCTGAAATGTTTGGTTCTGTCAGTTGCCAGCTCCATAGCTTAATTTAAGTGAAGGGAGAAATTCTGGAAGCTTCCTATTCTGGTATCTTCTGTGAAGTTCAATCAACTTGTTTTAACTATAATTATGAATATGATTCTAAAATATATCACTACCCTTTCTTGATTGCATCAGTAAACTGTACAATGGAAGCAGTTTATCTTTCTTTGACTTTTAACCATATTGCAATGCCTTTATGATGGTCTTTTATTGCATATTGGGATAAATATTAAAAATTGAGTGTATTTACACTCTAATTGAGTGTATTAAGACCTCAGATGTATAATATATAAAGTCGTCTCTTTGTCTTACATAACCCTTAAGATGAATGTCATTCATGATTTTTTTAAAATCATCTCTTCCCACCAAATTTGTTAGGACCAAGGGCAAAGGAAATGGAGACATGCTCTTCAAAAGAAGTGAAAGTTGGAACATTACCCTCCCAGCATCATTTAAACCATGTATTCCAGCAAAGGTGGTTAGTTAGGATACATATAAATTGATCATTTAAAGAACAGATGCATTTCTACTTTCCTTTTGTTAAGTAGACACCTGATACTAAGTTGGACTGAGTTCTGCTTCTGTGCTCTTTCATAACAGTTACTCTGTAAGATCAAGCAGTTCTTACTAGGAAAGGAAAAAAGAAAAGAAAAATAAAACTATAAAAAGGAAGCAATGCCTAAGGTCCCCAGAGTTTTTAAATTCAATTGTGGTATCTTGCAGCTGCTAACTTGGACTTCCTTTTCCTTACTTTGATCCCTTGTTTCTGAATCCATAATTTGAATTTTAATTTAAGCAGCATTCTTACAAGTTTTCTGAATTAAAACTTAGATTTGGAAAAATCCTACAACTCCCATTAAAAAAAGAATGAATTCAAAATGGTAACTAACATTTTGTGACTCAGCAGTGGTACACAATCTTTTAGGTAGTGCTTAAGTAAAAGAAAAAATAATATAGCAAAATCAGACATACAATTTTCATTTTCTTCTAATCTCTTTTCTCTTTTTTCCTTTTGGATTGTAGGTTTAGTTGATAGATCATGCTCAAAGGGACTGAGGAAACAGTTTATGCCAATAAAGGATTTTGCCATTACGGGGCCTCCCCAGTGGAGCAGCGGGTTGAGCACAGTGCTGTGGAGCTGTCCGCAGCCTCTGCAGTATGGGTTCAATTCCCAGCTGGCCAGGGAGATATCCACATGACGTGGCAGACCTCTCCTGTCTCGCCTGCTGCTCCCCTCAGCAGTGCTTTTGGTCCGTCTGCCTGTTCTGCTCCCCGCTCTGTCTCTGGTGAATCCTCTCACCCTCCCGTGCTTCTGGCCTGTACCCTGTTCTTGTATAAATAAATAAATAAATAAATAAATAAGTCTTTAAAAATAAAGAATAAAGTGCATAACTATTGTTTAAAAAAAGAATTTTGCCATTATATGGAATTCAAGAGTAAATTATTAGTTCTTATCCCAATATATCTACATGAAGAGTAAATAAGATCCTTTTAGCTTGCTTTTGTGATAAGATTATACACTTGAGAGTTAAGACTTAGAGTTCAAAAAGTTAATAAATGGAATGAACCTAGCAAAGATTGTTCCTGGCCAGTTTGATTGTGTTTTGTTATTTTTTGACAGAATTCCCTATTCATCTTTCTTGAGAATTTATAATCTAGCATAAATACATATGACTGGAGACTTACCCAGAAAAAAGGTTGCATGGTATCATAGTAAAACCTAATTATGGATACCAAGATCATAGTGTCAATGGCCAAAGACCACCTGACTTGAAGTCAAGGTTTCTTAGAGTTAAACTAATTAACCTGAGCTAAACATATCTGAGTTAGAGAGATACTCAGACAGACACCTCTTAGAATAGAAAAGGAAAAAGACGGTGTTGATTTCAACATAAAAAGTAAGCAGACTGGTATGTCTGATATTTGTTATTCCTACAGTAGCATTCATGTGTGGTGGGTGAAATAGAGAACTTCTCCACATCATCAAAGTTCCTCCTGTGCAGTGTGAATGGTCTAAATTAGGTCACATCACCTCAGATAATAACTTGCCAGAGTAAAGTCAGACTCCGATTGTCATGATCATCAAACCCTACTTCTGTAACTGGAAACAAATTGTATTAAGGCAATTACAACCAATGTCCACTATTGAAAACTTGCATCCCAACATTTATTTGCTATGTCCTTGCACAAGTTATGCAAATTTACCAAATTCCTCATGTGAAAATAAACTGAAATAAATATTAAAACAAAAGGTTATGTAAATTGCTTTAGGTTAGGTATATAGTAGTACCTAGTAAATCATAATAACAGCAATAAAAACAGTTATTATTTACCTATAGTACTTTCATGTTATGTAATAAGTTTTTAATTGCCTTATGGGGCATAAAATGTCAGTTTTTTTTAAATATGAGCAATATCACTTTCATTTTTTAAATATCCAAAGTCTTGCATATAATAAGTGTCTGATACACTTTTTTAAACAAATGAGTAAATAAATGAATATTCACACAGTTGAGTGAATGGATAAAGACCTGAAAAAACAGATGGTAAGCTTAAAAGAAAGACAACTAAATAGTGATTGGAGTACAGGTTCAGGTAGAATAGAGGAACAAGTACCAGATTAAGAAAGATCATATTTGAAAGAAAAATAATCTCAGATTTAAGAGGTATTTTCTTTAAGATTACAGTGGTTGTAAGAAGTGAGCAAACCAACTACAATTTGAGTTTTGGATAACTGTCTCATAGAGGCCACATATCTTGAGATATTTTGTTTTATAATATGATAAGTATTTTGATTTAAAAAAAAATGTGAGGGCCTTCCCAGTGGTGCAGAAGGTTGAGTGCAGCGCTATGAAGCTGTCTGCAGCCTCTGCAGCACAGGTTCGATTCCTGGCCAGCCAAGGAGATGCCGACATGGCGCGGCAGACCTCTCCTGTCTTGCCCACTGCTCCCCTCAGCAGAATATTTCAATCAATCTGCCTGTTCTGTTCCCCACTCTGTCTCTGGTGAATTCTCTCACCCTCCTGCACCTCTGGCCTGTAGCTCTTATATAAAATAAATAAAAATAAATAAATCTTTAGCTCTTATATAAAAATAAACAAATCTTTAAAAAAAAACCCATGTGAATGCTTACTGAAATCTGGAGGAGGTAGAAGAAATAATAATAATAGTTAATGAGTGCACGCTATGCTCCAGTCATTTTTCTTTTTTCTTGTATAAACTTAAATAATCCTCCAAATAAATCCGACATAAGTACTATTATTTTCATCCCTCTCCTTATTGACAGATAAGAAAATCGAGTCTAGAGAGACTGAGCAACTTCTCCAAATCACATAGGTAAAAAATAGCAAAACCAATATTTTTACTTAAAGTGTCTGACCCAAAATCTGTTTAACCATTATGTTATATTGTGTAAGAAAATATAAGTGTTCGGAGAAGTCAAATGATATTTCCAAAATACCATGCACCAAGAATTAAGAGTGTTAGTGCCCACAAAGAGCATGACAGGTTGAAAGTCATAGCCAATAGTTCATGACATACATATTTTTTCTGGCTCACATTGCACTTTTGTAATCCCCAGCACATAACATGATGGATCTGGAAGTGTCTACTAAGTAATTATGGATGGATGGATGGATGGATGGATGGATGGATGGATGGATGAATGGATGAGTGGATTCCAGTGTACATGATGTGCCCATCTTATTTCTATGGTATACTGACCTCCTCAGGCTTCCCTATTTGGCAAGTTATCTTATAATCTTGCTGAGCTTTTCTAAGGGAGAAAGTCAGCTTCACAATAGTACTTTGGTAATACAAATGTATATTTAGAGATAATCCATGCCTCAAAAGATACACTAAGGGACAGAATGAATACAAGGTTGTATATCCCTTTCTAGGGACTCTTTCAGAATTGTTACAGAGCAATAGAGACAAGGCACAATAAACTAAATGAATGAAAGGGAAAGTTAGGCTAGGGTCCTAAGAAATTGCAAAGGGACTATCAAACTCACTTTCCTCAAGAAGGATCTGCAAACAGTAAACAATGTCCAGACATTTTTTTGGTTACAGTTTAGTTTTAGGGTAGATGTCTTCTATTAGATTTTCACTTGAAAAGCTGCATTTTCCTTTAGTTCCAAGCACTCTGCTGTTTATAAAGTGAGCATTCAAAGGAGTCAGAACTCCTACCCTTACTCCTACATTTTCTGGAAGGCTTTCATTCCCCCAGAGTTAAGTTTCAAGAACTATATGTAAACCACATTACACATTTCAGATTCAGCTGTAAGATAAAATGTAATCTTGAAATACAATAAAGTAGAATATTGACACTAGCTGCTAGTGTCACACTAGCTGCTAGAGACACAATGCTGCACTAGCTATCTCTGCTTATTGTAACTATGTAGTCTCATTTTTTTTAAAGATTTATTTATTTATTTATACAAGCACTGGGTACAGTCAGAAGTGCGGGAGGGTAAGGGAATTCACCAGAGCCAGAGCAGGGAGCAGAGCAGGCAGAAAGACCGAAGTACACTGCTGAGGGGAGCAGCGGGCGGCAGGAGAGGTCTGCGCACCCGTAGTCTCATCTTTTGTACAGAAAGATCTTACTTATTAAAAAGGAAAATCAGCAGTGTTTCCTTATCTCTATATCATTTGTCATCTATTAGGAGTGTTGCAATAACTTTTTCAAATAGAAGAGATATTGGTAGAAGACAGTTAGTTGCACCTTTAAAAGAAGTTGTTTTGTTTTTTTTTTTAAATCACTGTCCTTACATACCCTTACCAAAAAAAATGTCTTTAGCTTGCAGTTTCTGAAGGAACAAAATCAAAATTGCTTGAGCAAGTTTCCTGGCTGGAGGAAAAACTAGACGCTATGCACCCTAAGGAAGACAGCAAAGAACCATATGAAGAAATGGTTCTTGCAAAAGACCAGGTATGGGACCTCCCTGGTGGCAAAAGGGGTTGAGCGCAGCACTATGAAGCTATCTGCAGCCACTGCAGCATGAGTTCCATCCCCAGCCAGGAAGATAACCACATGGCACAGCAGACCTTTCCTGTCTCACCCGCTGCTCCCCTCAGCAGTGTATTTCAGTCAGTCTGCCTATTCTGTTCCCCACTCTGTCTCTGGTGAATCCTCTCACCTCCCTGCACCTCTAGCTTGTACCCCAGTTCTTGTATGCATAAATAAATCTTAAAAAAAAAAAAAGGTATGTATGTAGAAGAAAAATAATCTATATTTCCAAAGGTACCTAAACTGAGATGACTTGACAGTTCTGCAAAATCATTTTTGTCTGGGTTGGAAGTTCATATTTAAGTTCAAGATGATAATTAATATCATTTGTATTTGCTCCAGGTACCTTTATTCCCCCCATGAATATGCACATATAAAAATTTAGTTTTGTTAATATTTTAAAAATTTGTTCGATATGTATCTTTTTGAACCACATTAGCTGAACATTGTATTTATAAGTGGTATTCACTGTACAAATTTTTTTTAGTTTTCAAGGTTGAACTTAATCAAAAAATAGTTTGAGTAGTAAAACAAGAGTATCGTAAAATTTGGCATATGCTTTTAATCAATTATTTTACAAAAAGCTAAGAATCTCTGGACATTTTTATTTGTCATTATATAAACTTATATTTAAGAAAATACATATGTATATACATAGAGAAAGAGAGATAGACTTTTACATAAAACATATATTCCACATGCAGATACAAACCCATTTGGCTGCTTATATATACATACATGATATCAGGTAGATTAGCATTACCTATATAGCAGAACATGCAACCATTATTTTTCCTAATCACTTCTTAAATCTTAGTATATTCATGTGTTTTGTCTTGGGCTCTTCCATAGAATGAAAGAGAACTAGGGATGGAAGTAATGATTTCTTCAATGATGATTTTCAAAATATCCAGCTGAGATAAAGCTTCCTTCATAAGATTTGAGAACTGGTACATATTTATATCTGGAATACTTTGAATATGTAAATGGGAGAGTTATGCACTTTGTTTTTAAACTTTTCTCCTTTTCAGTGCATTGAAAAATTACAGGCTGAAGTGAAAGCTTCCCAGGAGCAACTTACAGCTCATGTAAGTGTTTTCTTCCTTTTCCCATCCCTTTGTTTATATCACTGTTATTCTGGATATAAACAGAAAAATTTGAGATGTTTTTAACTATGGTCTTTCTGCTGCAAATCAAATCAGTATTTTTATTGCCTTTCCATAAATAGAATTCTGATTTATGTTGATAATAAAAATTGCAAAATTGAGCTCATATAAATAATCAGATGGTCTAATCAGGTACCATAAGAGTATGACAATGGAAAAATTAAGGGTAGAAAGACAAGACAGTCAGGCTATAGTAGTGTGTGAATGAAATGGAAAGTATAGGCACATTGAATATCATCCTAGAGCTATACTTCTTAGAAGGTAATATTTCCAGAATTATCTGGAAAACTTTTTGAGACAAATTTCCTGGATCTGTTTCCTGTTTCTCTACGGTGAGTCCTGAGAATTTGCACATTTAGGAGAAGCCGTAGTCAAAGCATGTTGATGCTGCCAGTCTTTGTATTCTACTTTAAACAGCACTGCTTCACATTTGTTTTTCTGCTCCAGTCTTGTGATTTTAGCAAGTGACCATATAAGCCAATCAGATATAGAACAGTCCTTTTTCTGCTGCAAATACTCCCCTGACAGAGATCCTATGAAATTCTAGGGTAAATTTTATTTATACTTTACCCTGTTTGTGCTCAGAGGACAACTAATGAGCATGTTCTGCTTCAATAACTTGTGTATTTACAGTAATAAAACACTCGAATCCGTCACTGTCTCTTCCCAAGGATCTGAACAACCCTGATTAATGCCTTAAGCATTTCCTCAAAGAATTGCACACCATGCTTTTAGTTATTGCCTCCATCCTGACTGCTATAGAATGACTTCTTGATTAAGAACACTGGCCAGTCATGTTAAATGGCCAATCTTAGTAACTAAACTCCTCAGACAGATGTTGAGAGGTCTACGGGCCACACAACCTGTAAAAAGACTACCAAATAATAAATTCTGGTGATCATCGCCCAGTTTGAAATGAGCTAATCTGGATAAAATCTTGGTAATTGCCTCATTTTTGTGCTGGGGAAGAGAAAAGCTAATTGACTGTGGTACTCAGCAAAGCTCTTAACTCTAAATTCAGAATTTTATTCTTTTGGCCTTACATGCTCAATTGACCAGTACTGAAAATGACTAAGACCTGCATTTGTGATACTGTGACATATTTAGACAAAAGTATGTCTCATTAGCACAGTATTCTGTCACAGATGCCTCTCCCCTGGCCTCCCCCTAAGGGTGCCAGATAATGACTATTGTCAGAGGATGTCTCTTCATGCCAGATTGATACCTACAACCATATGCCATGAGGGATTTTAAGGCAGAAATTTTTAAGGACAGCAGATTGTTCACTAAGTTCTGATATTAGCTTCCAACATTTCATTGTGCAAAAGAGATGAAAAAATATCGTCACGGGTGCCTTAGGGAAATTCCTGTGGCGTCTTCTCCCATTGCCTGGCTTCTGTGGATTCTAATCCTGTACCATGCTGTTCTGTCCAAAGCTTGTCTGAACTAGGACTGCTCCCTTGTATTAAGGCATTGATAGCAGAAACTGAGGTTTCTTCTATACAATTGGTCAGTTTTCAGATTTTAGTATAGCAATGTAATATAATCATCACTGTTTTTATTTAACTCTTCTAAAATACTTATAAATGAAAATAATATTATGAAACTATGCTGCATATTGAAAGTAAATTATGTGACAGTCATCTTTTTTCTGACAAAAAAAAAACTGAGTGTTAGAGATTGTAAGACCTGTTACACATGTCAATTCTGAAACCCATGCTTTCACCATCCCAATTTGTTGCTTTTCCCAATTATGTTTTTCTACATGCCACTTGAGGTATTATGTTTATAAAGGTTTTATGGCCAATCTCCTTTACTCTATTGACTCTGAGTGATTCCATCAGTTCATAAAGCTTCAACTCTCAATTCCATGCAAATAAAAAACCTCCTCCATCCCCACTGAGTTCTTTCTAGTTTAATCATCCCCCAATTACAACTCCTTAGTCCTGCAAAGACCATTTCTTAAAATATCATCCCTGTAAAAAGCATTCCAAATGATGTTAATAGGCGTTTTGAAAAAAATAAAAAGTGAGTGGGTGTTGGAAATAAGGTTAAGTTAAATAGACTCATTACTGTATACAAAATCTCTAAGGAAGGACCATAGTATATCATTTTCCAAAGGTATTTAATCACAAATGGTGTTTTAAACACATGGGTCTGGAGACTGGTGGCATGCTGCATCAAATTAAAGCACTAGCTGACTAAACATGACCTGAATATTTTGCTGACACCTCAGACTCAGCATATTAAAGTCAAATTTCCCACCTTCTATTCCATCTCTTAGATATGTAACTCTGAATAAAGAACTGTTATTTATGCTAGATCCAAACTGTAAGGCAGTTTTAAAACCCTACTTCTGTCTGCCTTCAGCCTCCACTAACTTGGTTGTCAGGCTCTGCCTATGTTTTACAAGTAATCTTACTTTTGTGTCTTCTATTACACTACCACTTACCTAACTCTTTTAATCTCCTTTCATATTAATTATTGTTACTGGCCCAAAATTAATACATGAGAATTCAGAGCCTCCCACTGCCCCTACCTGCTCTGCCCCCCAAATCACAATGCAGCCCATTGCTCTAACACCATCAAATGCTGCTGAAGAGGAGAGAAAGGATAGACAATCAAATGGAGCCAAAGGATATGATTCAGAGGGAAAATGAAATCTGCTGGACTGGCAGAGAAGAGAAAGGGGCTGGAGCAGCTAAGGAAGGAACCCTGTTGATGGCAAAAGGGCTGTTTCAGGGTAGGAGAGTAAAAGGCTGTTGGGAGTTCTGGAGACAGTTAAGGTTAGTAAATAACACAATATTAATAGGAGTTGTTGGACAGTATGTTCTCTAATCCACTTAAGTGTCTGAGAGTCATGTGCACAGTTTGGAATTCTTGTTTGGGCAGTGCCTCCCAAGAGATTTGATGACTGTAGTAGCCTCCTCGTTTCCCTGCCTCTGTGCAAATAGGGCTTCTGAAGGACCATCCCTACCCTTCATCTTGCTCTTGCTCATTCCCTTCTCTCTACCGCACAGTGAATGGGCTAGTAAAATGGCACTACTGCCTGTCTTCACACAGCCAGTATTAGCTGATGCTCTGTGACTTGGCTTGCTGTATTCTCTCAGAGTGGACTATTTTTTTTTTAAGATTTTTTTTTATTTATTTATACAAGAACTGTGGCACAGGTCAGAGGCGCGGGAGGGTGAGATGATTCACCAGAGACAGAGCGGGGAGCAGAACAGGCAGATGGACCAAAGACACTGCTGAGGGGAGCAGTGGGTGAGACAGGAGAGGTCTGCTGTGCCATGTGGCATTCTCGCCACCGGCCAGGATCGAACTGGCGCTGCAGAGGCTGCAGACAGCTTCACAGCATGGCGCTCAACCCGCTGCGCCACCGAGAAGGTCCCAGTGTGGACTATTCTAACCTTTCCTCTCTATCCACATAACTGTTACTCTACTTGTAAAATTCTTATCAGGGATCATCTTCTGTTTAAGTCCCCAGATTACATTTTAGGGCTCTCATAGCCTGCTGTATATACCTCTATGTTAGCTGAAAATACTAGTCTTTATTGACATTTTCTATACATACATCTGTTCTGTACTAGACTCAAAGGTTATTGAAGGCAGCACCAACAATGTGTCTCTGTATCCACCACACCAAACACAGGGCTGGGTACATCGCAACTACTTAGTACTTTCTGCCAGATTGAATTGGATCTTTCTCACGTCATGTCATTTTCCCCATTCCAAGGCCTAGAGTAAGACAATGGTCTCCTATTATCTCAGAATAAAGTCCAACCTCCTCCTGAAATGGCATTTATCACACTGAAAATGAGGGACTGATCACTTTTCTTGCCCTTCTCCATCACACATCTGTAACCCTCAAGTATGTTCATGCATTTCCTGCCCTGAGGGCGTTTCACCTAGTTTCTTTCCACCTGGAATACCTGCTGCCCACCTCCCCCATCATGTTTGCCAGGTTTCCCCCATTCTTCATGAGGTTTGTTCATCCCCAGTTTTCCTTAGCCATCAAGCCAGAGTTACTCTCTCCTTCTTTGGTACTTTCACAGCACTTCTCTGTACCTCTTTTCTTGTGTCACCTCTTACATTATAACCCATGATGGAATTATTGGATGTGGCCTATTTTGTTCCCAAGACTGTGAGCTCCTGGAGAACATGGAGCAAATCTGTTTATCTTTATTCCTCCCATAGTGTCTGGCTCAATGCCTTGAACAGATTTGACTGAAATCTATTATTACAATGGTTAAATTAAAAAAATAGCTATTTTAGCATTTATAGGAACCCACTTCACATCTCTGGAAAAATTATTTTCTTAAATTTTATTACTTAAAAATGCCCATTACCTAAGGCATTACTTTCTCTGGAATTGATATATTTTCAGGATGTAACACTGAAGTGACAAAAGATGATCTTCTAAAATAGAAAATGAAAAAAAAAAACAGCAAGTAAAGAAAACACATTTTGGGAAACACCTATTTCAGAATAAGTAAGAATAATATCTCAAGAAAACTGTGGCCTTACTATGAAAATTAACAACTTAGGATCTTGACTTGCTTTTATTCAGCATTCACTTGTCTAGAACCCAATAGTTGAATCATATTGTTGTATAATTGAATTGAGAGATATAAAATGGAGAGAAGATGCAAGCCTTAACATTTCAAAGTGAGTTGTCACTGTTAATATTTTTGAAGATTAAAATCTCATCCCATTAACTTTCCTTTGCCTAGTCACAACCTATACTTGTAAAGGATTGCAGAGGGTTGCCCTTCCCACAAGGTACCCACAGGGAGCCACCCACAGGGCAACATGCCCTGGGCATTTTTATCACTCCCTCCCACATGATTATTTATCTGCTTAGAGACCAACATGGGATGAAACAAATATTTGAAGTGAATGTTTACAATGACTTAAAGATA